CTAACTCTAACTCTAACTCTAACTCTAACTCTAACTCTAACTCTAACTCTAACTCTAACTCCTCCCCTTGGGTTCCCACTGGCCAATCACTTCACACTCATTTAACCCTTTCCTTATGACCCAGCATGATGTCACCTAGGAGGGCAAATGCCACATAGTTGGAGATGGTGTTTATAAGTACTGCCTTAAGAGGAACAGGATAGGATTAATTCCTCCTGAACTCATGCTCAAGAGAGCATCATCAAAACACAGCAGCAGTTTATTGGGAATGTAGGAAGCTTCTGTATAACAAGTAAGACCATTCGCTCATCTAGCTTGGTATTGTCTGCACTGACTTACATATTCTCCAGGATTTCAGATGTGATTTTCCCCAGCCCTACCTGGAGACATCAGGGGTTGAACATAGGACCATCTGTCTGCAAAGTGTGTGCTCTATCAGTAAGTCATGGTCCTTCCTTTCTAGCACCCTGTCCCTCAAGATGGGAGCCCCACAAATCCAACTGTGCAGCCATCAAGACTCTGCAAAGAGAGCCTTTCAATGCTATGTGTAAGAGCAAAAAAGTTTTTTAAAAATCAAGAAAATACGGGAAGCTCATTACAACACCGTGTAATGCAAGTATTAATCCCTTCTTGAAAAACTCAAAGAAATTCCTTTTCTTCCATGATTTTTTCAGGAGGCTTTCATTTCATACCCAGCCAACAAATAATCAAAGGAGAAGTTTTCGGCTCAGATAAGATGTATTCAGGCGGTGTTTTGTTTTTGTTGACCTAAATCGATATGGTGTAAATGAAAGGGACATTACCAGAAGCAAACTGTGATTTTATTACAAGTGAGGATATGCAACTGTTATATTAAGTACTGTAGAGTGTGACTAAAAAATATCCACCCTGTGTAACGTTGTTTCGCTGGTGGAAACATCTTTGAGAATGGACTGGAGGACATGACAGACCTGCAAGCTGTAATGGCACATTCCTTGAAGCACAGAAGGGGTTGAGAATGCATCTATTCAAAAGTCAGAGAGAAAGAGAGAAAGACAGCTGGTAACAGGACTTTAAAAGTGATGCCCTTTGGGATTTCAACAAGTGAAAAGACTTAGCAATCCTCCAAGGGCAGCCTTTTCAAAGCCAGGTGGTCAGTTTGCTCCTTCATCCTGGACTCTATTTATCAGAAGGTTTTTGGGTGTTACCTGAGCTCTTTGGATAAACAAGGTTGCTTTGTGCGCTTATTGTTCTCAGGAAAGAATACGGCAGCCCTTTGAAGTCCTTGTGGCTTATTGTGTGAAGGCTCCAACAGGGCTCTTCAGTGTACTTACAGGCTCGGGAAATGCTCCCAGCAACAGTGGGTCACCCCCTCCCTTACGTAACTGTGATAGAGTTCCCGTTTAACACCAGAAGAAATCAAACTGTTGGAGCGTTCACCTTTCTTTTCTTTTTGCTCCATTTTTCTCCTTCAGTTAAGTTGTATCACTGGCTCTTCGGCAGTTATTCTCATGTACTAAAACACAGCCTGTGTGCCATTGCATATTGAGGAAATGTCTAAGCAAAATCAGCACGGTGATGGGGGAGAAATTTATTCAGGAATCTACCTAATTACAACTTCCCAAACAAATATGTGAACCAAAACAGTTATTCTTTGAATTTGTACTTCGCTGAATTTTGTAATGAAGTTATTCAGTACCTCCCCGCTCACACAAAGCATTTTATATAATTGTAGGTTTTTAATTGGTTTTTAATGTTGTATTTTACATTGCTGTAACCTGCCCTTGGGTGTTAGGGTGAAAGGCGACTAATAAATTATTAATATTAGCTACAATAATAATATGTGTATTAGAATATACAGTGGTACCTCCAGTTGCGGACGGGATCCGTTCCGGAGCTCCAGTTGGATCCCAAGGTTTCCACAACTGGAGGTGCCTGTTCTGTGCACACGTGCAATAGAGCTCTTCGGTGCATGCACAGGGCACAGTAGAGCACTTCTGCGCATGCAGCGAAACCCGGAAATATACTTCTGGGTTTGCCGCGTGCGCATCCTGAAGGATACGTAACAAGAGGTGTATGTAAGTAGAGGTACCACTGTATTAGGATAACGAGAAAATGTGTACACAATGCACACATTAGTTATAAGGGTATACTAAATGCATTCTACAGTGGTGCCTCGCAAGACGAAACTAATTCGTTCCGTGAGTTTTTTCGTCTAGCGAATTTTTCGTCTTGCGAAGCACGAAATCCCATAGGAATGCATTGAAATCCAATTAATGCGTTCCTATGGTCAAAAAAAGTCCAAACAAAGCCAAATTTGGTACAACAAGAGTTTATTAAGTGCTCTTTAAAGTCACACATACTGTAAAGAGCATTTCAAAATTGAAGGAACAATAAATTAAGTTTCTAAACATGACAGAAAAACATTTAAAAATCAACAAAGTGTACAGTACATTTTCTAAGACTCTGGGGACAACTCAAGAAGGTTCCTCTTCCACTCTTTGCTTCTTGCTGAAGAACCCTCCTCAACTGTTCCCCCAGCCACCCACCACACAGAAATTCAAATCCAGAATTTTTTTAAAAAACAGCAGAGTGGCCCAATGGTCACAGAAAATCATAAAAATGCAGAAAAAAACCACACAAGCTTCCAGATTCTTGCAAACCCCTCCCCAACACCAAGTCCTTGAATTCCAAACACCCCAACCCAAAATCCAAACCCCCCCAAAAAAGTTTTAAAAGTTTAAAAGAAGTTTTGGAAAAGCTTCAAAAATCACCAAAGTCTTCAAAAACCTCAAAAAAGGCTACCACACCGCGTTCTATGAGTTGCTCCTCGAAGTCAAGTCGCAACTGTATTAACGGTGTTAAGAAAAAGGAAACAAACTTGCAAGACGTTTTTGTTTTTCGTCTTGCGAAGCAAGCCCATAGGGAAATTCGTCTTGCGAAGCAGCTCAAAAAATGGAAAACCCTTTCGTCTAGCGAGTTTTCCGTCTTGCGAGGCATTCGTCTTGCGGGGCACCACTGTATTAGGATAAATTGCTTCCAAAAAGTGCTTATTTGAGACAAAACTGAGGGCACAAATGTGCATTAGGAGAAACGTGCTTGAAAATGCAGGCAGTTTTTCATGCTGACTTTTACAAATAAAATTACAATTTGATTAGGAACACAGCAGACTGGCAGGTTTGGGTGTGATAAATTGTCAGATTAATCCATCCCAAGCACCAGCTTTGGTCTTCCATCACCATTTCCCCCCAAGGAAATAAATGTGCCTCAAACAAATGTTGTTTACGTGCTCTTAATTACATCAATGGCATCTGCTGTCCTGTGTCAAATACATAGGTTTGCACCAATACAGCTGGTGATGTCCTCACCAAATACACACAAGAGTAACATACAGGTCTGCCATCCCTATTCTCCTTCTATTCCAACCATTTATTGGACTCACAGGAGTTGGCCACTACAGAATGCATATATGCAGCCAATTAGGGTGGGATGAACCTGCGAGCCTCTAAATATTGCCTATCTACAACTCCCATTGTCCCTTACAATCGGCCATGCTAGCTGGGGCTGATGGCTCCCAGTACGTTTCCAAGCACAATTCAAAGTGTTGGTGCTGACCTTTAAAGCCCTAAACGGCCTCGGTCCAGTATATCTGAAGGAGCGTTTCTACCCAGACACTGAGGTCCAGCACCGAGGGCCTTCTGGCAGTTCCCTCACTGCGAGAGGCCAAGTTACAGGGAACCAGGCAGAGGGACTTCTCGGTAGTGGCACCCTCCCTGTGGAACGCCCTCCCACCAGATGTCAAAGAGAACAACAACTACCAGACTTTTAGAAGACATCTGAAGGCAGCCCTGTTTAGGGAAGCTTTTAATGTTTGATGTATTACAGTATTTAAATATTTTTTGGGAAGCCGCCCAGAGTGGCTGGGGAAGCCCAGCCAAATGGGCGGGGTATAAATAATAAATTATTATTATTATTATTATTATTATTATTATTATTATTATTATTGGAGTAGGAGTCCAACAACATCTGGAGGAACCGGAACTTCCCCACCCCTGAGTCAGGACAGATGTTACTGACTGGGTTTAATAATCAGAATTATTTATTGGATGGCCTGACCAGGCAATGGGACTTTCATTAAGTCTAAGAGGCTACCATTAAAAAAAGAGAAAACTTATGCATGTGTACCTGGTACAAAGCTTTTTGGTTCACCTGAACCAGGTGCCAGCACAGCCATGTAGTCGTGCCCCCAGGGATGCTTTACCTGCCCTGCCAACTCCACCATCAGTGGAAAAGCAGCATCAGCATCAGCACCCAATTCAGGTGAGATCTTGCCAAAATTGTGCATATTCCATAAGTTTTTGCATCCATTCTTCCTTTGCTAGGACTTCTGCTTCTTTCTTTTTGGGGAGGGATGCGGTTGGCGCTGTGGGTTAAACCACAGAGCCTAGGACTTGCAGATCAGAAGGTCAGCGGTTCGAATCCCCGTGACGGGGTGAGCTCCCGTTGCTCAGTCCCTGCTCCTGCCAACCTAGAAGTTCGAAAGCACGTCAAAGTGCAAGTAGATAAATAGGTACTGCTCCAGCAGGAAGGTAAACGGCGTTTCCGTGTGCTGCTCTGGTTCGACAGAAGCAGCTTAGTCATGCTGGCCACATGACCCGGAAGCTGTACGAAGGCTCCCTCGGCCAATAAAGCGAGATGAGCGCCGCAACCCCAGAGTCGGTCACGACTGGACCTAATGGTCAGGGGTCCCTTTACCTTTACCTTAACATTCTTGCCACTGTAGTCACATATATGAATAAGTTTCTGTACAGTTTGGGTAGTTCTGTCCCTAAAATTCCCAAATGATGCCCCTGTATCATCGTTCACATTGTTATTAGCACCAGAATGAGATCATAATGGCCAATCTCTCTCCTTCAAGTGGACAACATCAGCAAGAGGACACAAAGACCAGTCTCTCTCCTTCATTGGACACTATCAACATGAGGTCACAATGGCCAGTCTCTCTCTCTCCTTCAGGGAGGCAGCATCCTCATGAGATCACAGTGGCCAGGAGAGGAGAGGAAAAAACCAGATCACAGCAGGCTGTGTGTGCAGATGGTAGATGCAAGTATAGCCTGGCACCCCAAATTCAATGGTGAGCCTTCATAGTCCAGTAGCCGTCACAGGATGAGGGCAGAGTAGAGAGAAGAGTTGGACTAGGCAGCAACTGATGGGCAAAGCAGCAGTAGAACAGCTGAGAAGAGAATACAGAAGAAGAGAGGAAGAATAGGAGGAAGCACCAAGCACTTGGAGAGGAAGAGAGAAGGTACCGTATTTTTTGCACCATAACACTCACTTTTTCCTCCTAGAAAGTAAGGGGAAATGTCTGCGCGTGTTATGGAGGGAATGCCTACGGGTGGCATGCCTACGGATTTTCCTCCTCTAAAAACTACGTGCGTGTTATGGTCGGGTGCGTGTTATAGAGCGAAAAATAGGGTAATTTGGACAGGAGTAGCAATGCTCACCTGTACTTGTCCCTCTGACAGTCACCCAGAGGTTTTTTTACAAACATTATTTTAATCATCCTTTTCATTTCATTGTATATCATTACCCCGTACTGGGAAATGATCCACACCATCCTCTTCAAGCACCCTTCCACTTTAGCAGTCACAGCTTCCCCCAAAGAAACCCGGGTTCCTTGAAGCACCCTAAAAAAGGACAGTTCCCAGAATTCTTTGGGATGACTGTTAGAGTGGTATAATAGTGCTTCGTATGTATGGTCTGAATGTGACCCAGTAATATCCTTTGATCCCAGTCTGCATGGAGAACGATCAAAGATGATGGGAGCTATGATCCAACAACATCTAGAAGGTCATAAATTAGTAATCCCTGTTCTAAAATGACATCCAGGGTATTTGTTTAGATGAGCATTTTGCTGCCAATCAAAATCTTTAAAATAGCTAGTCTTTAAAGTACCAAGGCACTCTTTGTCATTTTTGATAACATCCAACTAACAGGACCACTCTTCTGGAATACTGTCAAATGATCACCCAACTTTTTTTCTCTTTTTCCGCAGGTTTCAGCAACACACTTGTGCGTGCAGTGACATCTAGTGACAAAGAACACAAATGGGACTTAGGGAAATTTCGGTGGAGAATTATCATCTATGATTTTTTTAAAAGCCAAAATTCAACTATAATCTCTTTCTCTCTCTCTCTCTCTCTCTCTCTCTCTCTCTCACACACACACACACACACACACACACGGTGTCTCCAGCAACATTTTGGAAAGCCTGCATATAAATTTTCAAGGTTTACTTCTGTTTTAAAAAGAGGCTGATTGGCCACCTATTCAGGCATGTTCTCTGGTCCTGGATTTCCTGCATTGGCAGGAATAGATGGCCTTTGGAAACTTGTACAACTCTTCAATTCTGTGCTTGGTCATAACAAAGAATGAACAAAATGTTCTTTGCAATAATGCATTTTATTTTATTTTATTTTATTTGCATCAACTTTATTTCCTAGAGGTGAAACCAAGGCCCTAAACCCCCACAACTTGCCCAAGATTTCCCCCAGTGATTTCTGTGGTCAGGGAAGGCTTTAACCTTCATCAAGTCCAGAGGAGCACATTGACAAAATATGCCCTCTTTCTTGGTGAATCGGAAGACTGTTAAGTAATGCTGGATTTTTCTTGGGATGAAATACGAAGCTCTTTTCACACGCTGGGTCTCTGAGATGATCAACAAGTTCCCTGAGATTCGCAATGAAGAGTTGCTGATGCTGCAAAGATTTGGGGCCGTGATAAAATTTCTCCTCTGGGGCTTTTCCCATTCTTCTATCTTTGATGGAGTCTCTGGAACGAAGACAAGATGTTTCCTCCTTAAAGGCAAAACCTACTTTCGCTTCTCAGTGTCTTTACTAGTAGCAACTCTCTGCAGGTAGTCAAAGGCTGGAACCCAAGTGCTTACTTTACCCATGAAACACCTGACATTTCAAAACAATGTTTTTGCTTCTTGACACACAAACTGAATCACACATCTGCTTTCCAGGCCAACCATTCAAGGCCAGAGGAAAGAAAGGAGAGGAGTTTCTGGGCTGCAAAGGGTCTTAGGGAGCTTGGTGGGTCCTGACTGGCTTGGAAAGTCAGCTGATTCTCTTGCAGCTGGAAGTGTACCCCAAGACCTAGTCTTTCTGACTTCCTGTACTGGAGACTAGTTACTGGTGGGCCTGGCCAGTTGAGACACATGTGCACACACACAAAGTGCCTTGCAAAAAGTTTTCAAAGGATGGAGGAGGGCTTTTGAGGAAGTTGAGGCAAGGGAGAATTATAGACCCTGTCTGTCTAAGGCAAGCATGGCCAAACTTGGCCCTCCAGCTGTTTTGGGACTACAATTCCCATCATCCCTGACGACTGGTCCTGTTAGCTAGGGGTGATGGGAGTTGTAGTCCAAAAACAGCTGGAGAGCCAAGTTTGGCCATGCCTAGTCTAAGGTGATCCTGTGTTAGACAAGGACAACTGGGATGGGAGACATGGAAAGCCACTGTTGAAAAGGTGAATCTCTGGTGCTCTTTCTGTGGGAATTAGACTCCATATCCCATTTGCAGAGTATGCGAAAGACAGCCCTAGGTCATTTGACCCTTTCATTGGTTGTTGTTTTTTCCTCCTATAAAAACTACACACTCTCTTTTAAAGATTAAATTAGGGTTGCCATATTTCAAAAAGTGAAAAGTTTTTGGGGCTAAGTTGTTGCAAAATCTCAAAAAAGAGAGAAGTTTTTGAGCTATTTTTAAAGACATTCACCAAAATCTACACTTCTGACATGGGTTGCCATACGTCCAGATTTTCCCGGACATTTAAACAATTTTTGCCTGGGCACTGTTTCCGACAGCTGAATCCCAACTATGTCTGGGAATTTCCGGAAGTGCGACAGCCCTAGTTTAAATAACACATAACTTTAACTTAGTGTACAGTGGTGCCTCGGGTTTTGAATGTTTCCATTGACGAACATTTTGGAACCCAAACGCCAAAAACCTGGAAGTAAATGGTTCCATTTTCAAACGCACCTCTGAAGTTGAATGGCTTCCGCTGAGGTTTTTGCAATTCTATCAAATTTACAGGCTGCCCTTTGTGCCTTGGTTTTCTAAGGTTTCAGAACTCGAACGGTCTTCCAGAATGGACTATGTTCTAAAACCGAGGTATCACTGTACTTGCACTTTCAGATTAAAATATACAATACAGATACTTAAGTTGCTAAAACCACTTACTTTGATTAAACTGCTACAGGCTAACTAACTATGAGGAGGACAGCAGCACAACATAACATTCCTGCTACTCTACCTGTTAAGACAATTCACCTGCCATAACTGTACCAACTGCCAGAACTGCCACAGAGTGCATGACACCATTGTGTTCTACAGCCCTTGCAATTAACCCTTTTACCTATGCATTTTGGATGCTTACATCCCACACTGCCACTGTGAGGAGGAGACTGGGACTTGGGTGCCCAAGGGTGGAATAAGAAGCCTATGAGGCTGTGGCAGAAGGGTGGGGTGAATCAGAACCCTTGCTGTACATGGCTCAAATTGCAAAAATGTGCATATCCGCTGGATGAGGATGCTTTTATTGCCCACTAGGCAGCATTTCAAAGGGATGTGGGTGGCGCTGTGGTCTAAACCACCGAGCCTCTTGGGCTTGCCGATCAGAAGGTTGGCAGTTCAAATCCCCGTGCGGGGTGAGCTCCCGTTGCTTGGTCCCAGCTCCTGCCAACCTAGCAGTTCGAAAGCACGCCAGTGCAAGTAGATAAATAGGTACCGCTGCGGCGGGAAGGTAAACAGCATTTCTGTGCACTGCTCTGGTTTCGGTGTTCTGTTGCGCCAGAAGCGGCTTAGTCATGCTGGCCACATGACCCGGAAGCTGTACGCCAGCTCCCTGGGCCTGTAAAGCGAGATTAGCACCGCAATCCCAGAGTCATCTGCAACTGGACTTAACTGTCAGGGGTACCTTTACCTTTACCTTTTAGGCAGCATTACTTAATGTGCACTTTACCTACTTGCTGATTAAAAAAGAAAAAAGAAAGACTTTTCCAAGATTTTTAAAATTTTTTAAAGAAAGTTCACTTTGAATAAGTGCACATATTTGATTAAACATTCCTCCCTGAAGGCATAACCGAAGTGGGAAGTGCCCTTCCTCTGTGGATGCAGTACGAGCGCCGCCTAAATTCTTGGCTCCACATAAATGCTTTTTTATTAACTACAATAATAGGATCACTTAATGAAATTGTTTCTTAATTATTCAGGAGATTAGGTGAATATGGAGGAGATTGTATTCCCACCAGGCAAAACTTGCAAAGAAGTTTTTCTTTTTCTTTTTTCCCCCCTGCATATTTACTTACAGTCTATCGGCACTGGTCACTTAAGCTCAGAATAATTATGCCAGTGAAAACATTGAGATCACTAAAGTTGTACAGTGGTACCTGTACCTTAGGAACAGCCCTGTTTTACGAACTATTCGGTATAAGAACGCCGCAAAACCGGAAGTAGTGTTCCAGTTAGAGAACTTTACCTCAGTCTATGAATGGAAGTTGAACTGTGGAAGGGCACTGGCGGCAGGAGGCCTCATTAGGGAAAGCGCTCCTCGGTTTAAGAACGGACTTGGATTTGGTTCATAAACTGAGGTACCACTGTATATCAAAACAACTTGCTTGCACTCAACTGGAAGGCTGTGGCAGGCAACCAGTCCAAATGCATTTCTTTCTTCCTTTTTCATCTCTGAGTGTCAGTGTAAGATTTAGACCAGGCTTCCTCAGACTCGGCCCTCCAGATGTTTTTGGCCTACAATTCCCATGATCCCTAGCTAGCAGGACCAGTGGTAAGGGATTATGGGAATTGTAGTCTCAAAACTTCTGGAGGGCCGAGTTTGAGGAAGCCTGGTTTAGACCAAATTAATAACTTTTGTGGGCTGGTTTTCGCATGGTGATGCCATCTCTGCCTCTTCTCACTTTCTTCGTGGCAGGTTTCTACTTTGGCACTAGAACATGCACATACTAATCACCATGTGATGTAGCATCATAACATTGATGTGCCAAGGGCATGGGGTGAAGGGTGAAAAACTCATGTCACAACCAGGGCATCCATAAGTACAGACCAGCTGTAAGCCTTTTGATCCCAAGGACCAAACTGCACATTACACGCACTCCCATTATTGCTTTTCTTTATAACAAGCCGTTGGAGGCGGTTTCAGTTTGAGGAGCGGACTGGTTCTTTAGGAGGGTGGAGAAGCTGCTTAAACCTTTCCTTTCTTTTGTTCCCTTCACTTTGCCAACCTCCTTTCATTCCCAATTCAAGGACACCAACACCTGTGTGTTGGAAAACATCTAAGAGATGGGTTTTTGAGCAGATCTAGGAAAGGTTTTTTTTAAAAAAACACTGTTGGCCCACCTTATAATGGATTCAGGCCCTATAGCTCAATATTGTCTATGATGACTGATAGCATACATTCCAAGATTCTGGAAGGATCTGTCAGTTACACTTTTCTCAGTTTCTTGTTTTAGCAATCTTAAATTCAGTTCTCCACATTTCTGCAGTGATATGCACTTTCTTTCTTTTTTTTCATCCTCACACAAATTTAACAGCAGTTTGGTATGATTTTCTCCTAATAAACACATTTTTGCATGCAGTTTTGACCAATGTGCACAGTTTTTCAAGCGATTTCTCTAAAGTAATGCATTTTTGTACATCAACTCACAGGTTGATAATTTTTTTCTGCACACTTTCCCCAAATATATACACAGGTCCCACTCACTGAACACAAAGCGCTCCTTCGAAATCGTTCGCTAGGTGAGCATTTGCACAATGAGTCCGCAATGTCCACTGATTGCTACTATGGGAACATTTCTAATTAGGGATTTGTCTGATCTCTCCCCGCCCCTCCCCAGGGTTTCTTCCTGAAATTGATGCAGACAACCAGCAAAAGAGAGACAATGGGAAAACTGGTTTGTCCTATCCTGCTTGCTCCCTCCATACCTGCTGCCAGCCAGCAAAGCACAAACAAGCAAGGAAGTAAAGAAATTAGCAAACTCTGGATGTTTGGATACCTGGGTCTGAGGCATTTATAGTGAAGTTTGGGCCATGGGCATAGCCAGGATTTTTGTTAGGGGGGTAGAAAGTTGTTTTAGGAGATTGCTGGAGGGGGGCAGAACCTCAGTTAATGGAGTACAGTCTCCTCTGCCCTCCCCCCCTCCCCAATAATTTGGGCATACAGTCATAACTTGGATCTCAAATGCCTTGGCTCTTGAACAAATCGGCTCCAAAAAAATCGAAACCCAGAAGTGAGTGTTCCAGTTTTCAAACAATTTTCAGAAGCCCAACATCCAGTGCCTCTTCCAAGGCTTCCAATTGGCTGCAGGACAGCCAACTGGAAGCCGCACCTTGGTTTTCGAATGGTTTTGGGAGTCGAACGGACTCCCGGAACGCATTCTGTTCGAAAACCAAGGTACGACTGTAATTCTTTGCATTCAGAGAAGTGGATTTTTGCATAGTGAGCAGGTAGATAGCAAAACCTGTGTGTATACATTTCCATAAACATCATTTGGCTGGAGAACTGCACCCCAAAATCTGAATAAGTGCAAAGGACGGCTGTATTTTGGTTCTCATGTTATATGAGAAAAAGGAAATTTGATTGGTTGGTTCCCAATTAAATGTGAACTGAATTTCTTATCCATCCCTAATTCTATTAACGTGCCATGGCTCATCCCAAGAATAAAACTGTGTAAGCCTACGCACAAGAAACTGGCATGAAGCAAGCCACCGTGAGTTAAGCTGGCATAAAGTTAACCAGCTCTAAACCCCATTTGGCAGCGGGGCTACTGTTGCTGCTCTGCCTAAGCATGACAGAGAGAAAAACAAGCCTCTAAAATAGTGTCCTGTTTCAGGTTGCCAGGTCAAATGACCAGGCTAAATGGACTTAGAATTCAGTTCCTGCTTCTATTGTTTTATGTCCACCACAACCTCAGAATGCCCCGTTTGGGGGATTTGCTGTGGGATGAGAGGTTACGCCAGCAAATGTTCAGTTGAGCTGGGGTTGGGGATCTGGCTGAACCTGGCTGATCCCAGAATCAGCCAATTGAGCCAGCGATCCACTGCTCGTCTCATTGGATCTTGTCATGGGATTGGCCACTTCACTCTTTGTTTACAACTGCTGTCACCTCTTTGCCATAACTTGCAGGTTATCAGACACATATTCATCTTGCGGTGTGCTTTTGGAGCAAATGAAAACAATGAGAATGATCTCCTTTGTTCCCCCTCTTGTTCCTTCTTGAAAGCGCAGAATCACACTGGATGTACTGCCATCTCAGCCAGCTATTGGCCAGGAAGCAAAATTTGGTTCCCACAAGCACAAGAAGGCAGATTGGGACCTGCAAACCTAGCTTTCTTGTTTCTTAATTTCCCACTCTGCCATCCCTGTAGCAATATTATGATTTATTGTTTCATCTTCAGGGAAAAGAATGAATATGTGGTTCCTTCATTTTAATTCTGGCAAAATCTGCCCATTAGCTTGAAGGTTTATTATTTAACTCTTGGGTGCCTGTTCTCTTAAGTCTCGGGTCATTTTTGCAAGGAACTACTTATTAGCAGCAGGCGGATGTGGCATACATAATGTGGCTCTTCAGGTCTGTGTCCAACAAAAAACAAATTAAATTAGGATTGGGGAGAAATGCTGCTATCCTAGCTGGATGCTAGTTAGTTGCAGAAAGAAGCTATCGCAGGCAAAGCTTTACCAAGCATACACCTCTCATATATTTCGTAAAGAATACATTATCAAAGGCAATGTTTGTAGAATCATAGAATTATAGAACTGTAGAGCTGGAAGGGACCCTGAGGATCATCTAGTCCAACCTCCTGCAATGCAGGAATATTCAGCTGTCCCATACAGAGATCAAACCTGCAACCTTGGCATCCCCATGTTCTAACCAACTGAGCTATCCATTCTAAAAGCAATGTATGAACCGGGTTATTGAGGTGATGAATGGGTTGTTTTATACGTGCAGGCTTTCAAGCTGAAGGTTTTTTTTTTGTTTTTTTTATGAGGTAGTATTGTCCAAAACAAATGACAAAGAAATCTTAGCATTTAAGGAGGTGTAAGAAGAAAGTTGTGAGCCATCATATAAAGGGCCAAGAATTCCTTTGAGGTGATTCATTGACCTCATTCATTCTTACTGGCATCAGTGGAACTAATAGGGACACTCTCATTTTGATGAGAAAGCTTTACATCCCATGGCACTGTTGGCTCAAGACCAAAAATAAAAATTAAAAAATGTCTTTTTTTGTAGTTACAGATACAAACTTTTCTTCTCCCACTCTCCTCCCTGCCACGACAAACATGAA